ATCAAAAAAGTACTCCAGAGTGTTGTTCAGCATGGGGGTGAGTAGAAAATGAAGGCTAATCATGTTTTGGGTGTACTATTCCTTTAACTGATCCGAGCTCGGACCGGTCTCGGCATGGATCGGTTTTTCAAGGGTAGTGTAAATGGGGTAATAAACAGGAATGTTGAGAGTACCGTCCCATGTGGTGCTCCTGTGCTTCCTACTGCTTGATTAGACATCTGACCCTTCAGTCTAACAAACTGTGATCTGTTTGTCAAGTAGTCTTTGATCCAGGCGATTGTTGATGTTCTGAAGTTTCTCACAAAGTAATTCAGGCTGAATTGTATTTAATGTCTTGGAGAGATCAAAGAACATTAAGATAAGTGCTCTCTGCCTTATCTTAATGACAATGGGTTAGTTGAATCAGGTGTATGGTGGCATCTTCAACTCCATCGCCACGGCGGTAAGCAAACTGCAGGGGTCCTGATAGCTGCTTGTTTCTTTGCTGACGTGAACCAACGGAAGTCTCTCTAGGACCTTCATGATGCAGGTTGTCATGGCAACACACTTATAGTTACTGAGGACTGTTGGCTGAGTCTTTGGTTCTGGAACAAGAGAGTAGGGCTTCCACATCGCTGGAACTGTCTGCTGGGTCAGACTATGGTTAAAGAGCTGTGCTCTCCACAGAGCTGCTCTGCACAGACCTCCAGGACTTTAGGGCTGACACCATCAGGATAAAAAATACCCTTCTACCATCAGGGGAAAAATAAAATCCTATCACTTGGCAATCATATGTTTTCTTATTTAAAATTATTTTCCTTTTAGATCTAGTGTTCTTAGTTCTATTGGTCCTTATACACATTATAGGGATGTCCCGATCTCAAGATCGGATCGGCCCGATCTTTTCCTTTTTTCCTGTGATCGGAGCTCGGCTACATTACCTGACTAGTCGCACCGATCTACCGCTAGTTACGGTAGTTGCGCAATACAAACATCCGCGGCGGTGCACAGCTGGTTGTTTAGTTGTTTTTAGGACTACATACGTATTTGTTCATAACTGAAGAATGGTCTTGTTGATTGTCATGTTTCAGTGATCATGCTACTTTTAAGTTGCAGTTCCAGAGTTTTGAATTAATTTGACTGAATTCTGTTTACATTTTAAGTTGGCTTTAGATGTTTCAAATTAATTTACTTAAATGTGACTATTTGTGCACTTTATTTTTATTGACTTTATGGCAGCCTATGTTAAGCACTTGTAAGCTAGAAGTGGATCTTGGATAGCACTTTCTTTTGGATAATACTGTACCAAGTCAGTGTTTTTCTTTTTACTTTTGTCTAAAATATTAAATTGAAGCTGACCTTTAATTCTGGGTAAGATTTTTATTTCATGGGATTTACAATAATAATAGTAATGATTTTTGATAAAATATTATTCTAATAAAAAGTTGGGTTACTTGCTCAAAATATTTTTGAGTTTGATCAATTTCAATACTAAAGGCAAAATATCGGATCGGGACTTGAAATCGGATCGGATTTGAGGTTCAAGGATCGGATAAGGATCGGAGGCCTAAAATGCTGATCGGGACATCCCTAATACATTACATTGAAACATTAAGAAAGCATAGCTCTGTGGTGTCTAGTTTGCATCACTTAATGTTACTGATTAACAGAAATAAGCAATTTCATAAACATCTCTTATTTTTAGTGTAGTATATGTGTTTTTGTGTCTTCTAGTGGAGATTCATGAGTATTTTTTGTACTGTTGAAACCCAAATGATAATCAAGGGGGTTAGGATTTACGTCCAGATCCCTCAAAAGTTTTCCATCCCGCGTGTGGTTGTACTAAAATCAGCCGATTCTCCGTATCTGTGGCTCTCGTGATGTCATCAGCCCAGCTACTCACAATGTACAGATTTTTTCAGTGTCCTTTTACTTAAAATATTTTATTTTATAGATTTGCTTATGGAAAAGACCTTTACAGTGTTTATAGGTATGAAATATATGCTTACGTGACAGCGGCAGCCTTTGAGTTTTCTTGCTGCTGATTTATTTAGCTACAGATCAGCTAAAGTAAGAGATGGAAAGAACAAATCCAACAGTTGAATGAGTCAGTCTTTTCAGCTCAGCGTTCGATATGATGGATTGACCTCTGCTTTAAGTCAAGGCAGAGAATTTAAATTAGAAACAATCAAGACTTTAACTAGGCCACTCTTAAATGGTAGGTTATGTTTGTTGAGGTATTTCAAACAACAAAGCAATGAAAAAAACAACAACACACTATTTAGAGGAAATGTTTTCCCTCATTTTTCCATGACATTCATCAGGATGTGAATATTTGCAAATCAGTGACACAGAACCCTCTCAAAACAAGCGCTGCAGAAAGTTGCTTGCGCAGCAACATGGCTGCCGCTTATGCGTTTATTATGACACTCTCATAGTCATTCATGTGACTAGAGAGGAAGGAGTCCGGTTATTATGGCCTGTCTGTGTAGGAGGATCAGCAAAATGAGATGAATCATGCCTCCAACAGCTTACACAATCCACATACGAAGCGATGCTTGCTCCGGCCTCTGCCTCACGCTTATTTTTAGCATAATCCTCTTGTGTTGATATGAGAGTTAGTTGAGTTTTCAGTGAGCCTGAAGCAGTTTAACTATTGTGTATCTTAAATGCAAAATACAACCTTTTTTTTTTTTTTTTTAAGCTTCCGGCTTCTTGTTTAATCGGAATGAGGAGCAGGAAAAGAGAAGTGAAACACCCCGGCCTGTATGCATGATTAACTGTCTCTCTTCTTTTTTTTTTTTAGGTTGTTTTTAAGGCAAAGTCTAAATATGCACCAGAGCTCCAGCGGTACAGGTGAGAGCAGGCCTTCCCTGGGTTTCTACTCATTTCCCTGGCTGTAGTCTTTAGGGCTGAATAATAAATCTGTGGTCTTTTCCTGCCAGGCTGCCCCTCTACCTCCTCTTCCTGTTCATCAGCCTGGTGTTTTTAGTCGTGAATTTAGTGTGCGCCCTGCTGGTGAGGATGTCCTCTGCAGAAGCTCACACCATTGTACTTGTGAGGGTCGCCATCAACGACACGCTTTTTGTCCTGTGTGCCGTTTCGCTCTCTTTGTGTCTTTACAAGATCGCCAAGATGTCTCTGGCCAACATTTACTTGGAGTCCAAGGTAAGATGGAGATTCAACTACTGGATTAGTCACTATGTAATGCAAAGGTATTCACCGCTCAAACTTTCCTTTTCACATCACAGATTTCAATGGATTTAATGCAAAATACTAAAAATAAATAAATTGAAATAAAACATATCTGTAGTACTAAAGTTTTTGCAGAAATGAAACTGAGAAGTTGGGGAGTGGTGGTCTAGTGGTTAGGGCACAGAGCTTAGAATCCTGAGGTTGTGAGTTGGAGGTTGTGGCCGCTCACACCGAGCCTCGTTCTGCTTGAGGTTTCTTCCTGTTAAAAGGAAGTTTTTTTCTCTCCACTGTCGCTACAAGCATGCTTAGTGTGAGGGATTGCCTTCGGGTCAATGAGTCGATGCAATCAACTGGTTTTCTTTAGATAGAAAACTTTGAATCAATTGGACTGTATGATCTGGTGAACTGTAAAGTTCCTTGAGATGACATGTGTTGTGAATTGGCGCTATAGAAATAAACTGAATGGAATGGAAATTGAATTGAAACCCACTCCCACAGACTGCCACTCTGGGTCCCGGAGCAAAGACCGGTAACACCGCACTGCTCCCGGGGCGGGTTGGGTTTAATGCAGAGATTGAATTTCGTAGCTTACTTGTGACATTGTAATGACAATAAAAAAATATAAGAAGTGCGGCACACATTTGCTTTATTTTCCTTCAGCATGTTGCCTCTAAATAAATGCAAGAAAAGGTACTGCAGTCTATTTGTATGTAGACTAAACTACTAATCCAACTATTCTATTAAAGCCTCATTAGTGTTTCCCAGAAAAACATTAAGAAATCCTGGAGAACAGCTAAAGGAGTTCTGCTCACCTGCAAACCTACAAAGACAAGGCTGTCCGCCTACATGGTAGTGGCAGCATCATGTTGTGGGAATGGTTTTTCTCCACCAGGGAAAGAAAAAATGCTTTTTAGAGTTAATAGTGAAATTAATGCAGCTTGTTAAAGGGTAATTCCATGTGAAAACCTGTTAGAGCAGTGATGTCTACCTCATTTCCCTGAGGGCCAATGTCCTGCGCCTTTTATATGCAGGATAAATCTGCTTCCAGTCTGTTGGTGCTTAATGAACTATGCAAAAAGGCAAGCAGACATTTCTGTCTTTAGATGTCCTAGGCTGGTAGAGACGCACAACTAAAGACTTAGATTTTTTTATATGCAACTTTAAAAAACATAAATCTTTTATGATGCACCGCTTTGTGATGGTCTGTCACAAATCCCAATAACATTCACTGAATTCTGTGGTTGTAATGGGACAAAATTGGAGAACAGTTGCTGTAAATACTTTTGCAGCCCACTGTGTGTTAGCTTTTCCTCCTGGTTTAATGTTATGATGTCATGCAGGGGACGTCGGTGTGCCAGGTGACTGTCATAGGAGCCATCGTCATCCTCCTGTATGCATCCAGGGCCTGTTACAACCTGGTTGTCCTGGGTCTCTCAAACAAAAGCATTAACTCGTTTGACTACGACTGGTACAACGTGTCCGACCAGGTAAGTTACTACGTCATGATGTTTTTATAAGAGGAGTTCAGCTTCTGGTTCTCTTGTAAAAAACAAAATAAAATCTGTTCGCTACAGCCTCTAGATTATTTAGAGACACCAGGTGTAATTAGTCTGTTGGAGTCTTTGAAGTTCCGCAGGGACCTGGAGCTGAACCTCCATCAGCTTGTTCTTTGGTGCCTCCTTGGCGACACCTTTGGGTTATTGTTATGCAGAATGACTTGATGTGGTTGTTCAAAATTAATGATCCACCCATCAGCCCGTCAATGGAGGGCAGTCACACTGAGCCAGAATCTAAAACACAGTGTAAAACATGCCTCCATGCTTTACTATGGAGGTGGTGTTCTTCTGATTATACTCAGTATTTCAAACACTCCGAATGACTTTGGCTAAAGTTCCTTTCTTGTAATTGTCCTGATTCAGTAAAAGTAGATATTTGGCGAAGCTCCAAACTAAGTGGGTCAACAGCTTCCTTCTCATCAAGCTTCTTGCTGATGGTTTTTCAGTGATCTTTAACCTTGAGTAGATCTACGTCTTGATCATGATATAGTTTCACAACTCTTTGATCTTGCCCACAAAACTGGAGATCTTGGAGTGAAAGACATAGATGTTTTATTCTGGGCACATAGTAGGAGGATGGGAGTCAGGTGTGGAAAGAATGCAAATCATTTTCTAATAATTTCAGATTCGTAAGGTAAGATAAGATAAGGAATTATTAAGATAAGGGCCGTTGTGGAAAAAAATCTCTTTTTATTTAAAGGAAAAGTCCGGTGAGCAAGGAAAAATCAATGGATCGTTATTTATACGTAAAACTAAAACGTTTGTGGTGATTTAATGAATTTAGTATTAATCAGTAAAAAAAATTAAAACAATAATTTTCAGCGTGATCATTGAGATCGGGAGCGGCCATTTTTGCCCAAATATAATAACACCTGACTCCTGCCATCTTCTGACAGTGACGTCACGGTGTGGTAAGCCTAGCGCCATTCTCCCCGCTTTACAAGCAAAATCAATGGGAACTACTAGACACATCTGCAATCAACAACAATTGTTGAAGATTTCTAGAGGACTTCACCATTGAAATTCACCAGAGCTATATTGAAACTGACAATGCCCATGTGCATGGCAGTTGGATGTTTTAATACACTTGGTAAAATTTAAATAAAAATTTGTTATTTCACCTTTCCTATTCTTGATCTTAATTAAAAACACTTATCATTTATTGAACAGTCTGTAATAGTTTCATATTTAAAGTACTCTCAGAAGTTTGTATTCTGAATATGACCGGACTTTTCCTTTAAAAAAAAAAACTTTCGGTTTTGTTTTTTGGGGGGAAATTAATTTTAGGGGAAAAAAGGAAAACTCTTTGGACGGCTTGATTTTTGGTCTTTTTTTATCTCCCTCTGAAGGAGCTATTTGTAATTTCTTTAAACTTTTCCTTTCAGGCAGATCTACAGTCGACTCTGGGGGACACCGGCTATGTCGTCTTTGGGGTGATTTTGTTCGTTTGGGAGCTGCTACCTACCTCCTTGGTTGTGTATTTCTTCAGAGTTCGAAAGCCCAACCTGGACAGGGTGAGGCCTCCAGTAACCTTGAACCGATAGCTGTTTCTCATTCCACATCTGTGTTTTGGTTTCCCTGTGTCTCATCGGCCACATAAAACGGTTGGAGAGCCCTGCGTCAAATTGTGAAAGGTATCGTCTTGTGTGTCGTTTGTCTCCTGCAGAGCAGCTCTGGCCTCCCCAGTCACGTATTCTCATCCAGGGCGTACTTCTTCGACAACCCAAGACGTTATGACAGCGACGATGATCTCGCTTGGAGCGTCATGCCTCAAAACATCCAGGCCAGGTATGCGCAGCATGCTTAGTCCACTGAGTCCAGGAAGCAGGCTCGGACTGGAAAGAGGAGTAGCACAGTCAAACGCGTGCGTCTCGAATGTGAAACACAACACCAATACACATTGT